AGTTGCAGCAACGTTAGCAGACCAGCTTGTACTAAATCCTTTCACTGAAAACATTAATGCTCAATGATGCATACACATATATATATGGGCCATTAAGTATACATACATAGAAACACTCACGTGGGTGTGTATACATAAATACATATTTATCAGAGCAAACTTAATAATTCCCATCTACAAATGAGTGTCTGCACACACACGTATAATGAATTAACTAAAATGATAGCAAAGCTCTGCAGAACTGTGAAGCAAAAAGGTTATTTCTCTTAATGTAGGTTTGGAGAGATGCTTAGCAGAGGAGATGAAGTGGTAGAGGTAATAATTATGAGTCAGAGCTGGAACAACGTAAAGCCCTTCTCTGGACCCACAAAAACATCTTGTCTCTGATTTGAATGGCACAGACTAGCAACTCTCTCAAGCAAATACTGCTTCTGTTTGGATAGATCACAATTAACTAGAAGGGGAATACAATCTGATTCCTTTCCCCTGGTGGACAATCTCAGTCACATAACATGCTGTGCCTATGGCTTGTCAACACAGACCCATTAGAAATGTGAACTCATTAGAAGATATACCCAGTGGGGGCTATAGGATAGAACTTAGAAAACTGTAGATTTCAAAGACTAGTGCTTTCTAGGCACTCACAGGCTCACATAAGAATGTACCTAACCCATTGCCCTTATGGATTTGAGCTATTTTCCTACGGGGCTCACTCTTTGTTTTCTACAGCTGCTTTCCTCACACCTGCATCAAACACTACAATGTGCTTTGGAACAAATCTCTTGAAGTTCTGTGATGCTAAAGGAACTGAACTGACCATCTTGTCAGATGAGATGAGTGTTAAAACAATGACGAAAGGAACTGCATAAGTGGATGAAGAGCCGGGAATGGAGGGAGAGTGGATTCACCTTGTTTAGTCAGTAGCTCCAAGAGACTAGCTCACACAGTCTCATGGTACTTCCCTGTGTGTCACAAAACTACATTCTTAGCACAGCCCACTCAGCTATGCTTGTAAGGAAATACCTCATTCTTGCACCCTTACAGCCATATGAAATAGCAAACTCATAAAATAAAGCGGAACAGGCCTCTGCAGGACATCTTGTCCAACTTCCCATTAAAAGCAGCTTGCAATTCAAAGTACACTAAGATACTCAGAATCATACAATGCCCCTACATACAAATCTACAGATTTTACTTGTAAGCTCTTTATGACTTTTTTAGGACATTGATATACAATACGGAGCACAGAAGATCCAAAAACCTAGTATGCCCATACAGTACAGATACTGCAGCTGCTCGGAGAACAGCCATGAAGTGGTATGAAAATTTGTGCTAAAACTGTTGCTGCTTCCTACAGCCCAGAATGCCCCTCATAGGATGTAGCACAAAATGAAGGTTGGGAATAGTAGTCGTTCTACTGATATGCTGATTTTAATAAGATGAAGTTATGATATTATTAATAACAGAATATGTTAATAATAGTTGGAGTATAATAATATGCATTGTCCTGAAAATATTAGTTCTGAAGTAGTTGAACACAGACCACTTTATACAAATCAGTGGAAAAAAGTTTCCCTAACAGGAATCAGCTGAGATCACTCAATGAAATATTTTGCATTTTCCAGAATGAAAGAGAAATCTTTAAAAGCCACTAACCTACCCACTCTGGCAGAACACAGGTATGAGCACAGTCTTGGTCTCTGCCTCAGCCCTGCTTCTACTCGAAGAGCTCCCACTGATCCCACTGTCAGTGGGGAGATGTTAATCCCAAACCGTTGTGCTGCTGTCATCAGCTTTTTGAAATCATTGGGATTTCTACGTGCAAACAAATTCCATGTACTTCCAACCACCATGCATTATCTTGGTTCAAAGGATGGCCAGCAGCAATAGAAAGGCATTGATTTCTTCTCAGCCAAAGCTTCCACAAGCTCATCATGATCCTCCACTGCCTATAGATGAGTCTAAGTTATCTGCACAGAAATGGCTTGCATACGGGCTTTATAAATGGGCTCTTTCCTCCTCAGTTCCTTTAACATTGTGAATAGGAATTTCTCTAAACATTTATTGCAAGTGTCATGTGAAATGTCTCTGCATGGCTTTTACAGACTATTAAGAATAGTTTTTAAAATTGCTAATGATGACAGTAATAATAAAAACAATACTAATAACAATAACAATAGCAATAATAATGATAAACCTGCAAAGATTCAAAAGAGTCAGCTCTCAACAAAGCTGATACATAACATTCAGCAAGATAACTCACTTCCTACGTTCTCCACCAGAAGACTACAGACATACAAGTAACAATAATCTTAGTTTTAGAATGCATCTTTCATCTAAGAAAACTACATTGATTTATAAAATAAATGGGCTAAATCCACAGCTAGTTGATTAGCTCCATTGATTTCAATGAAGGTGCTGATGTGCAGATTTATTTGAGCTCAGATCTATCTCTCTGCATATGTGTGTGTGGTTGGAAGACGATACACATTGTACATTGCACATTGCACAAAGAATTTCACAGAGAAACACTTTATTTACTAACACAGAAAGTGACACATTATTGCTTCAGCATTTGGAGAAAAATGCACAGAGTGAAGAGAATATAGGCTCCAATCTTTAGCTGGGGATTGGTATGTATTGCCTCAACAGGATGCTCACAGCAGTCTTGTGGAAAGGCTCACAGGTATATCATATGCTGTTGTGTTTTGCTCTTTGCAAAAACAGGGGTAATATTTGCAGATATCAAGGCAGCAGATGCACAGACATATTCTTCTACAAAAACAAGTACTCTACTTTTTTGAAGAAAAAGCCAAAGCCAAGGCATGGTTTTGGAGTAAAGGATAAGCTAGTAATCCTACTATAATTGATAACACCTCTACCCCGATAAAATCTCAATATCTGTCTGTGACACAGACATGAAAGCTGCCTCGTTCTGGCCCAGCACTGTTCGGGAAACAAACTTAAGAGTGCTGCTCCTATGCTTTATAGGCATAAAAGATAGCCATAATTACTTAGCCTGGTGTTCCTGTGAAACTTGAGCACAGGAGATCTGGATGGGTATGCACAAGTCAGCTATTCCTTCCTGGTCCTCCTAAGACTACAGCACCAACACACTTCTGTCATTGGCACAGAAGAAACCAGTTCAAATGACTCTTCGTCAGAGGAGGATTTTCCCCCTGTCCTTTTTTTGCAGCTAAGTTGAGCTCAACTGCGACTACAGACCTCTCCTCACCACATAGTTGTTTCTGTTTTGTAAGGCTAATGTAGGTCTGGTTTTTGAAAGGCATACCAACACAAATCATGCAACCCAGTTGGAATAAATTCAAATTACTAGCAGAAATGCCCAAGATACACAACTTCTATCTGATCCAAGCTTCCCAGAAACTGATGACAATCATACCCAGCAGTCTGCTCTCAGTCTGTCACTACCTGTGACACCAGCAAGGAGAGCCACGTACACATTTCTGCCATATAAGTAGGCAAATGGACTGAAGCCTAGAAGAAAATACACTGGGACTGAATCTCTTTTCTCTTGCAAGTAGTGAAAATCTGCAGAAACTTCAAGTGAAGGTGCAGAAAGCAGGAAAAGCAGATTGACTGCAAGGTGAAATTTATCATGTCTTGCCTGCCCTTGAGTTGAAGTGCTGCAACAGCATCTGATGTGATTAACCAGATGCACTCCTTCATGCCTCTGCAGATATGCTTTACAGGTGTGCTTCAGTCTAAAGCATCTTAGCCACCTTGCCTCCTGATCCTTTTCAAGCTGTTCCAGCCAGCTCAGAGATAATACAGGTAAGAAAGCATCTCTGCAAGCAATGAAGGCAGTGCATCTAGTCCTTTCTTTGTTCAAAATCCCAGTGCAGAGTGTTCTGATCTGCTTTGCGCAAGAGGTTGAATGACTCTTTGAAGATGTCTTTGAACTTAAAAAGTTCCCTCTCTCCCCTGGTTGTTAAACTCAGATCATGGGCTGTTCTTGAGCCAAAATCATGCACCAATTCTTCCAGCCTTGCCCAGCATTTCAGCGCTCTTGGGAGGAGGAAGGTCCAAGCACCTTTGGTGCTAGCCCAGGCTCTTCCTTGCATCATATGGGTGAATCACAGCACACTATACCCCAGATCTGGAAGGTTATTCTGAGCTCAGCTATGCATACACACACTGAGAACACATTTAACTTGAGCTAAAACCAGATGTACAGCCCTCAAAGTAGATAGCAACTAACGAGGTTTGGGGATATTCATACCCAGCTGCAATCTCAAAGGACAGTCAAGCTGCACAACTGGAGCAAGTACAGAACTGACATTAGGTGCAACCATATGCATCTGTGGCCTCTGAAGAGCACTGCAATCTCTGGGACACCAGATGCAAGGAACACAATCTCAGTTGCATTTATGAGAAGGGAGATCTGTATGTCACAAGTCCTGTTTCTGGATTTGCAATAGCACCTGGCATAAGGCATCTCTCAGACCATAAAAGCATAAGCATCCTGTCCTGAATGCATGAAAGTTGCTGTCAACACCATGAGATGTTTCAACCCATGCATGTATCACTTACACAGTCTTATTCCAAAACAGACTGTCACCAAATATAGATCAGGGCAGAGGTGGCTTCATCTAGTCAAGGCTTGAAAACTTCCACGGATGGTGATACCACAACTTCTCTGTAAAGTGACTAGGGCTACACCACTCCCCAAAGAAGCAGATTTACTTACTGTCCTACCTGAACTCCCAAGCAACAGCTTGGGACCTTTGTTATACCCTGTGCCACTACTGGGAAGAGTTTGGCTCCATCATCCGTTTGCCACATGATACACGAACACTCCACCTGCATCTGTGACTATCAGCAAAATCCACAAAACAGCACCAATCCTTCATGCAATACCACATGTGTAACTACACAATGCTGCACTGCACACCATGAGGCTTACCATGCACTTGGGGATCTCCATGCACTCCCTTCTGCCATCACATTTTAAAGAAGTTAAGAGCTGACATACTTACGTCATTATCTGGGTCTCTATGCCAGGGTCTACAAGGGATCCATCCACAAAAAGTGGTGTTGATGTGAAACTGTATTTACTCCATGATCTTCCCTCATCAAAACTCACCCTGGGATAGAAGCAGACAAGATTTATACACATAAAAAGACTTTAGTGTAACTGCAGCAATTAAAGGTTGTATAAGGTCTGCAAGCTCCAGCAGCTAGATGTATAGACAAGCACCAATCTTCGCCATTTCCCAGACCACTAATTCATGCTCTTGGTGTACCTTGAAAGATCAAAGCCTTAAAAAGTATAAACACTGGCAATAAGGACACGGGTATATTTGATCCAGCTTTACATCAGACATCAATGGAACAAGGGGCATTGCAAGTCCTGTTTCTGGATCTTCAATAGCACCTGGCATGAGGCTTCTCTCAGAGCATAAGTAGTCCTGTTGTGAATGTATGAAAATTGCTGTCAACACCATGGGATATTTCAATCCATGTGCATATCAATGCCATATAGCATTAACTACAATCTCTCTAACACTATTAATACTTCTTTGCATACCATTTTAGAGGTGCTCTCCATTCTGTTAAGAGGTGGAAGGAGGCCAAACTGAGCCACAATCAGTGGTTAGTCTGGATTCTCATTGCTTGTTGTGAAGCAAAGTTGCATGCTGGTTAAAATTAAAGCATTTCCTTTCTTGGAGTCTGTTCACACTGTCAGTGAAAAGTCAGGATAATACAGTGGCTTTTGATCATCTTTCCATGCCCACAACCACCATGTGGCTTACTTCCTGTTTTTATCAAAGAGCACATGTATCCTAACTCAGCTGACAGGGTGTTGGTTGAATTAGAATTAGTACAACAGGCTTTTAGATTAGCAGAGCAGGGATAGCAAACCCCACTCTCAGCTACACCCCAGCAATCTCTCTAGCTCTGACAACTGTAAAGTCTAACTGACCATACCAGCACACAGACTAGGTCAGGACTCTGGTGGCCTTCAGTGCCCCTTCCCAGGCTTATTCATGGTGTCCCTCTATCCCATCCATGGCCCAGCAGCCCCACTGACACTATAGGAGTGCCAGCATCCACCTCTGCAAGTGCCCTTCCCAGCCACTGGCTGATGTCCCTGGCCCCAGCCCATCCCTGTCCCCAGTGAGCTGCCTGATGCCCAGGGTTGGGGATGCCACTTGCTGTCCTGCTTCGAACTGGGGCAGCGGGATGGTCCCTGATCCTATTCTGCTGTCCCAGGGACCTCGGCTGGCTACCAGCCCTCAAGTCACCATGCCAGCCTGTGCCACAACTGTGCAGAAAACAGCCAGAGGAGGGTGTGCACACCCAGCTACTACTGCAGCAGGAAAGATGGGCAACCTGCAGGCTGGATGCCCATCAACAGTTCTGAAAGCAGCTATGTTTCTCTCTGCCCCCAGACTGTTCGCATAACCATTCCTGCACAATTTCTGCACAGAATTTCAGCTCCAAATTATACCAGCAAATAATGAACAGAGAAGCACAAAGGTTCATTAGCTATAAAATTATTTGATCTTCTCCCAGCAGGGTCATTACAGAGTTCTCTGTAATTCTGCGAGGTACCCTGGCTGAGAAAGTTCACAGATTACTCCTGATGAACATTACCAAACAGACAATCATGGCACAGACTTCTTTAAACAGCAGGAAACACTTCTCATTTTAAAGTGAAAATAAAAAAGAAGTTTGCCTTATTTTCCAGGCAAGAAAAGTTGGTGGGGGTGGGGGGGCAGATGCATACGTGCATTCACATACATGGCATCTGAGCACCTGGATTTGTCTGAGAGGGTCTTGCTGGAAACTGAATCCTCCCACACCAAGTAGGTCTCATCAGGGACACGTGATGCCACCAAAGGACCAGGAGGCCAGTGTAATATGTGTTACAATGGGTTACACCAAGCTCAGATCTCTAGTGTAGAAAACCAAGGCTTGCAGTCGCTATTTCCTAAGCATGTGCCTCTCACAGCACCTAGCAAAACACCTTTGCCTGACTCACAGTGCACATCTGACAGAATAAGAAGCTGACTATAGACCGAAGACAGAAAGCTGGGAGTACAACAGCATACAAAAAGCTTATCTGCCCTAAATCTATTTATTTAAATGTATGTATCTTCCCATACACCTGTGCATTTGTATGCTGTTCTTCCTGCTTGCTTATCTATCTAAACAGCATTTCAATTTCTGGTGAACAGCATGCTTCATTAGTGTAGCTAAAGTTCTCTTGGCTTTTCAATTATCCATCCCTCTTTTCTCCAGGATGCAACTTATTGTACAATGTCAGCCTGAGAACTAATGGATATACATGTACCCTTTAATCTATTCCACTTCTGCCCATGAAACAGGTACCTACTGAGGCAATATGAAGCAAATTCCAAAGTCCCTAAGGGTACAATTTTGGAGGAAACCTGTTGGAGCTTACTGATAACAGCTCTAAATTACTACTCATTTAATAGAGTGGGTGGGGTACTCATAGTACTGCACATGTCATTTCATGAGACTTAGTGGAAAGGGAGAACATCTGAAAGGAACCTCTGTAAAGCAAACAAAGGTGAACTGGGCTCCCAGCTCCTGTGGAAAGTCAACCTGTGACCATATCTTTCCCAACATCCAAGTACAGGCGCTTGTATGTAACGTGCTTTTTATGCCCAAAGAGCCTTCACAAGGTAAGACACAATTAAAACAATTACATCTGGGTTGAATAATATAGTAATAAATGGTTAATACAGCTCTTTTGATAAGTGGCTCGCTTTTCAGTCTTTCGGAGCTCAATTTGCCATAGCCCTACTGCTGGTGACACCTACCCTTGGCTAACACACACTTCTGCCTTGGCTCATACCTGGTTTGGTCTAAACACTTTGACATGGTCCTGATGTTGTGAGGGCCCATCAGGGGTAGTTACGATTACTGAGTTACCTACCAGAGGCAAATATTTCTAGTAACACAACAACACGCTCTAACCACAGACAGACAGCTGGAGTCTGCTGGAAGCATCACTAGGGGTCTGCACTGTTACTACTCTCCTTTATATGTCCAGTCATAAAAGCTGTTGACAAGGGGATGCTGGCCTAGGCTAACTCCTGGCCCTGACTCAGTACATACTAAGTCACGACTGCAACAAGCTTCCTTCTCATAAAATAAACAACCTGTTTCCTGAACACTAAAAAGCAAGAAAAAGATCACAATTCTAATTGCATAAGATGACTTGCTTGTAAGGGCACAGAGGTACAAACCTCTCAAAGAATGCTTTGTTCCCCTATCCTAGAAAAATTACAAAGCCTTAGAAATATGAGCTGATACATTCTGTGGTTAGCAATCCACCATCACACCAAAACTAAAGCATTTCTTTAGCTCAGGTGGTCACAAAATGTGCTTAAATGCAACATATTTAAACTTTAATAGAAAGCTATGTTGCAGCCATCCAAGAGTTATCAGTCAGGTCAGGAATATAAAGTCCAGAAGCTTTTTGTATTGAAAAAGTAGCCATTAATGTTCTTAAAGCACATCTCTGGAACATTAGCTTGTGATCAGTAAAGACAGCCTGTCTAAAAGTCTCCAGCTTCTGAATGACTGTAATTTAACTGAAGGATTTTGTACCATAATGGCTCAGGTAGAGGAGACCTTAACACCTCATCACTGCTGCCAAACACCATTGGTTTCTTTTTCTATTTGACTGAAGGCCACTTTCCCTGTTCTGCATGAAAAGCATGAGATAGACATGTGCTTAGCACCACCAAACTAACAGAGGACTCAGTCTTGCAGACAGGAACACAAATCTTGTCTCTGAAGGCTGTTTCTAACTAATCCACTCCTAAACAACATTAGAAGCTGGGTAGGTCAGTCCATTAGCCATGTCCCCCTTTCACTCAAGACCAGAGGCTGAGGGTGATGTTAATACACACATTTTCTGTAAACAAGGTTAGTTCTGAATTTCAGAATGCCTCTCTTCAATGCTTAGCTGGTGCCAGGAGTGAGAGGGGCAAAGGCAAAGTAGAGGATAATTTTGAGCAGTATCTTTAGTGCTTAGACTGTTATAACCTGTTTATAGAAAAATACTATCTTCAGCTGAGAAATCACTTTGCCCTATTCCACCTCCAACTCTATTCAGTCACCACCACTGTATCTCTGGAAATTGATAGTGAAATCCTATGGGAGAGAGCAACATTAGCAACATATCTCTATTGTCCTATGAACAGCTTCTTCCACCTCCTCTCCCTCCCTTTAACTGTGTTACCAGTTTAATAATAAACAAATGGCAGAACTGAGGGACACATCCTCTCAGAAATACAAAGGATGATTTCTTACTCAGTGTATACGTGTCTGTGTGAAATCTCACACCTGAAATCTCACAGTACATTACAAGCATAAAGAGTAATTCATATATGTGTGTGACTACATATATAGCCATCACATTTATAAAGTGGTACAGTAATTATTGTATTAATCAAGAAAATTATTATATTAATCAAGAAAAGCAAAATGATGGTAAAATGCAGATTAGAATTATCTCATTTACTCATTTTGTAGACACTAGCAAATGCTGAAGAGCTGATACAATAGATATTAGTACAACCCTATCAGGAAACCTTCTCAAATAGTAAGTTTCCTTACCACATGTGCCGGATGGGCACTGATGTATGTTTCAAGGCCACTAGTGCCCCTCCCCAGTCCAGAAACCACACGTTGTATTCCTCCTCGAAGATCTGCAAACAAATGAGGCGCTGCATGAGTGCTCCACTCTACTGGGAAGACTCAGAAGACGACTCGCAAAAGGTTCCATGCTTTCCTTCACTCCACAAAGCATACCTGTCTCCAGGAATTTCCACCATCAGAAGAGATGAACACACCAACATCAGTGTAGGAAAGTTCAGAGCCAATATTGCCTGCAACACAACCAGGTGTCAGACATTCTTGCACGGCTGAACACAGAACTGCATTTTTCCAAGAAACCAAAATTACTTGGCCTGACTAGTGCTTTATTGCTGTTTTTGATTCTGTTCTCATATGAAACAACACGTGGTCAGGTCACAACATTCATTTACAAGAGCTATGCCATTTGAAAATTGTGATGGAATGAAACAGAAGTTCTGCTTAAAGGAAATCTTATTTGTTTAGGTATGAACCTCACCTGGCAGCAGAAACAGTTCGGAGAATTAAGGTGGGTCAAATGACTTTGCAGCACAGAGATAGAGACCAGACTGAACAGCATTCTATACAATGTTGATTGTTCTCATTGACTTAGCTGTCCCACACTGTGAGTTTAAACTTACTGGTTACTTGGTACAGCTCTTAATTTTAATCTTGTAATTTCCATTATGATGAAAACTGTTCTGCTGATAGCCTTATGCAATGAACTACTCTGCCTTCCTGGACTAGGGAATGGATATGCCACCCATTAAAGCAATGCAAAGAAAAGCTCAAACATAAACCATAACCATGTATAGAGAAAGCATAGCAGAACACCATTTGAAGACACTACCTCAGAGCTTGAAACAGAGCTTTTCAGCATCCCTCATCTGAGACAGCATAGAGAACCTCAAATCTTACAATAATAATCCTTAATACAGATTAAATAATGGCCTTGAACTAAATCCCCAACTGTCTGAAACCTCTGAGCATCCACCAATATATTCAAGAGAGAGAAGCCCAATATCTGAAAAACTTAAACAGGCGATGAATAGACCTTACTAGCTTCTTCCTCACACTGCCCTGACATCAGCATCTTGATTATCTTGCCTCTGCTTCCACAGTTAGGACTGCCAGAAGCACGGGGCTCACTGAACATTGCAGGTCTCCTCTAACTTGTTCTCACCTCCCCACTTCCCAAAGCACCTAGTGGTTCATGGAAAAGCTATCGCAGTCACCCAGAAATTGTTTTTTAATGTTGGTCTGTCAACAGTAACTTCAAACAGTCCTAGGTGGGATTCTGGTGGTATGAACATCTGCCCCATAGGAAGCAGACAGATGTAACACTGAAAGTACTCTATCAGAAGTCTTCCCAGTGATAATGGCCCACAGCCACCATACTGTGGTCAAACCCATGACCTCTTTATTCAGAGCCTGTAAGTTCTTTACTCAGTGAGCCACTCTTATACCTTCTGAATGAGATTGTTTTTAAAGCAGGTGCAATTTCCATGGAAGTGAGGGAGAACTAGTATTTTTTCTTCAAAAATAACAAAGAGAGAAGTGGCATTCTTATAAACCTGTAGCATCAACAAAAGCATAACATCACACTAAAGAAATGTTAATTCTTTTTTTGACATTTAATGCTGGAAAAAGAGAAATTAAAACCCAGATGTGGGTTGACGCTCTCCTGTCACCATCATGAAATCCAACTAGCCACATGGTTGTCACTACACTGTTTCAAAAAATATAATTTCTGGCTCAGGGAGGCAGGGCAATTCAAGCAAGGCTTTTCCACCAGCACTCAGCATGTAAGAAATGTCACACTGTCCATCTACCTCATCTTATTCCCTGACACCAGCAAGAGTGACCAACTGCTTTAGATGAAGGTACAAGGAAAACCTGCCATGGGCAACCATATAGAAGGACAGTGTATACCAATATCCAGGTTCGCAAGGATAAATCTACTGTGTCGGTCCAAAGGTCTTTTCAGACCAGTGTGTTATCATGAGTGGAAGTCCTCAAGAATTAAAAACTGACTTAAAGGTAGAAATGTAAGTTTTGAATCATTATATTTTAAATATCAAAACTGGAAAACCAATTTTTCAAACAAGGTCTTCCAGATTATGGCAAGGAAAGAGAGTAAAAAGATGAGATTTTGTTGCTATCACTTCTTTCTGTCAGATTTTCTGTGCAAACCTGTTCTACTATATTCCTCATTCTCTCCATCTAGTTTCTTTGGCTACGTGGGTTCAAACTCCCCCAAATATAACTAACTAACTCCCAAACAAGTCAAGAGGATTTGGCAGCTGTTAATTAGACACTGATACTAAAACATAATTCTTCCCTTTGCAAGAATCTAACCTCTGTCTTCATATCAAGAGTTCAAATTTCCAATCATTGCTGGAAATACACCACTGTAAATCAGAGTAAGACATGGAGTGTCTGAGTAGCCAATGCCTGTGAGAAGAAATTGCAATGCCTGTCCTGGAATACATTTGCCAACATGGTGAGATGTTCCTGTTGTGAAACTGGTTAGTGGAAACAGATGTGTATGTTCTCAAGAGGTTAAGCTTTTTATTGTACCACTTGGTAAGGCAGAAATTATATTCTGCCTTTTAAAGGTTAATTGTTAGACTGGGAAAGCATTCATCCCATGCACTGGCAGCTTGAAAAGAACCTCATTTAGCGACAATTTAGATCAATGCCTCGAATATCACTGTCCTCCTGTCTTTATTTGCTTCCTAAAAGGTTAAATAAAAAAAGCCTCAGCAATCTCAACACCACAAATGTGGCTTGCTCTTAAGCATCCATCTACCATGCGTGACCTGCCAGGAGTGATGACTCCACTTGGCTATGCACAGGAAGATCTAGAGGTTTAAACCAAATTATTTCACTTCATTTGGCCTGGATCAGTGAACTGGAAATCACATGGTGTTTCCCTTGTTGAGACATAAATGTCATGAAGGGAACCTGTCTCTCACATTCTGGCTTAGTCTGGCAAACACATGGAAGCACAGAAGGACATAAGAATGGACATGGTTGGAAGAAACAGTGTAAATACATATAGGCAATACACTAACATGACATGCTTGCAAGCCACTGCTAGGCTGAAAAGGACAAAAGAGAGAAACTAAGCCACAGAAAGAATAGTTAAGCTATTTGGGCATATTTGAGCAAATGTAGGAGCCTCCTTGTGAAAAGGCAGGATAGCCTGCATGCTTCAGAAGCCAGATTTCAACAGCACCAGCCATTCAAAAAGCACTTTGTTAGCCCAACAGCTCCCAGAGATCTGTGGGAGTTTGAGTATGGTTGGTAGCCCCATCCATCCTGATCAGGCTGCATGCTGTGTGCACACAGGGCCTGTGATGGTTGTCAGATTAATTACAGTGGGTCAGCCAGTGCCACCATGAAGCATTGTACCAGGCTGGCATTAAAATATCACAACCTGCCAAAGCACTATTTTGCAGAACAACCCACAGTAACAATGACCCATGCAGTGGTGATGAAGTGCTGTAGTCTTGGAGCAACAAGCAAGTAGGTGCTATGCACAAGACAAGCACTCATGAAGTCCAGGCTTCACCTGACAGGCTTTGTGACAATTCTGCTTGCTAGTCAAAAGGCACAGTGTAGTGACACCTCCCAGGAGTGTAGCTCTAGGCCCTATTCTCATTCATGGCAACTCCAGCAAACAGGTAGACACCTACATCAGTGGCTGTAGTGATGTGAAGTGAGAGGAGTTAGTAACACCAGCCACAGATGTGGGCTTAGACCTGCATATCGGTTATTGTAGAGCAAGAAATACCTGACAGGCAATAGCTTTTTTGAAATCAGGAACCACATGCCTTCTCCTAGCCCATAGCAAGTAGGAGTTAATGTCAATTAGCTCAGCACTTGCTGAAACAGAGCTGAAAGCTTTTACACTAACAGAAAACATCTTACATGTTCTCAGGCTCCCAGTGAGGGATGGGTGGGTAGGGAGAAGCACTTAGGCTCTTTACCTGTTGCCACCAGCAGCCCAGGAACTGTCTCTTTGCTGGAAATGCTTCCTGAAGAATATGGATTCTCTGAGAGTTGCAAATGTAAGTGCAATGAGCAAAAGGGCTGTTGACAGGAAACAAACGAAAGGCAGAAGCTTTAATATGCAACAAGTTAAACATCAATGGGACCACTGTCAACTCCACACAGGTGCTTCAGTCCTTCTGAAAATGACCCCTTGCTCTTAGTACTGTTACAAATAGCAGCATATGTTCATTTTCTGAATAAGTGTCGTAAAAGTAGCTGAAAGAGAAACAGGAATGCTGCATTACAAGCAAGCTTATCTGCAGTTGTTTTTACCAACAATCTGATCTAGAACACTTTTCACCAGGAACTTCCTTATTTTGACCTTAAGTTCCATAAAAAAATTCAAGAAAGATGGTCATAATTTTCCCTTAAAATCTATAAAACTATAGATAGAGACAACATATACATAATTCATTTAACATTCACCAGGTCAAGAGAAAAAATCACAGCGAAAATTTTGTTAACCCAGTGACTAAAATAAGCAGCTCTGAATGAGTCAATTGTCCTTTGGAAAAGGTCTGCTGCTCACCAGGTGGCAAACTACAGGATCCCCTCTTAGATCGGTGTCTGGTGCCTGCAGCAAACGCCAGTCTCTGCCTTTGTTGTAGGTAATGAAAGTCTTGATTTGGTCGTCTATCTTCCTGTTAGCCAGGAATATGCCTTTGATCCCTGCTACCTAGGAAAAATGGAGAGAGATGAAAAAATACATCGGAAGAACAGACCAAAAGTAAAGCCCATCTGAGCATTCTTCAGGAGTGGAAGGTCTCTGAAGAAGTAATAGATTCATCTCAGCCTGGTATTAGAAGACTGTGAATGGCATTGCAAGTATATCTTGATGATGGCTGCACAGCTGAAAGGCCTTGTGCAATCTCTCTTTAGAAAAGAAAAATACAAGGATGTTCGTAGACCAAATTCCTAAGAAACAGCCCACTTCTGGATTTTCTTGAGTGCTTGCAGACAGCCTGATGATGGGCTTGAAGATACAGCCTGCACCATGTCACACATCAGCTCTGTAAGCTTAAGGATGTGGCTGCTCCCTCCCTGGATTACCATAGCATGGGAGACAGCAAGTCACATCAGCAGCAGTGTGGGATCTTTTCATGTTGGTCTGTTTTTATTTTACACGAAAGATGGAAATCTTGAGTATGCTGAAACACTAATGTTTTGCAAACTTAATTTCTTCACTTTCCTTCCACTCCTAAACTCTATCAAAATCAACCCAGTTGATTCTGATGTTTTGATTTTTGTTGGCAGAACCCATTCCAGAAGAATATGGTCCTGTCAAAACGTCTCCAACTACATTTCGTGTTGAGTCTGGTCTCTGTTGTACAGCTGTGAAAGTGAGACAACTTCCTGGCAACAGTAAGGATGCAAATACTTCTATTCTAAAGCCCTTGAGTAACACTGCCCTTTGAATGACCCTGGGAAAATCTCTGTCAACATTTAACAGTAAAATGTCTGTGATACACAGAGTTTGCCCAGGAATGGGAGATGATGCATGTTATTTTAGCTGGTTCATCACAACAGAGGAAAAAGTATCTTTTTTCAAAGGCAGAAAAACATACTTAATTAGGGGAAAACAAAATGGAAACCCTGCCCTTTACACTAATCCATGTGTTTGTGAGTTTTCCCTCATTGCCTTAAATTACCTGGATTTTTATAAGCAAGTTGAGGATGTTGTTGAACGGGCATTATACTGACTGAAATAAAGAGATGTATAATCCTAACTTCTACATGAAACTGCAAAAACATTTCTCCATGTAGCACTAGAAGTCAATTTGCAACCATTACTACTAGTATAGTTTGCTGCTGGCAAAGCATTGAGCCCTGAACCTCAGCAGATGGTTCATTCAACAAGTTATGACATGCCAAAACCAAAATGCTCTGAAGAAACCAGAAACTGAAACAATTTGACTGGACCGCTGTTGGCCAAGGCTGAAAGGCCTGACAGAAGAATGAGAATAGAAGATGATTCAGGGTAGAAGTTATCCAGCTGTTATCTCTGGGCAAATGGCATCTATAAACCTTTTTTTATCATTCATAAACTGCTCAGTGCTCACAATGGTGGAATCCACATTCCGTGCCTGCAAGCAGGTATCATCTTTAGCTGTCCAGTGGGAAAAATAATATTTTGGATCCTTCTCTAGCCAGCTATGTTAGGATGAGAAGGATAATGGTTTTCCCTATTGGAAAAGTCACATAGCTAACCAGACACTGACTTGAAAGCAACCTGTTGTCACACATATAGCAGAATGCACCACATCTATTCTCACAAGAGCTGACTCAGCATCAAATCTAGTAAATGTCTTTGTGCTGATCCCAAAACAGATGAAGATCCTGAAAGGTTGGTAAGAGATTCACACTTGCTTGAACTGGCAAGTTGCTGTTCTTTGTAGGGTGACCTTTACTACATACCTCATAAAGTTCAATGATGATATTCCCCTCCAGTCCTCGACTGCTTTTGATGTTTTCCAAGGCCAAAGTGAAGTACACCCCTCGGGTGTCAGAGATATACAGATTGTATGTGTCGTTCTGGTTCCACTCTTGAACAGCTGCAAACACCTGATCTTCGTCTGTGCTGATAATATGCATGTCCTGTTAAAAGAAGACAAAAGGCCTGCTACTGAGGATCTCTATTTCTTTGCCCTTTGGGACATGTAGTAATTACCATGACTTATGAAAGAATGGAGATGGAGCATGAATTATAGGTATGTTAAACAATTTTCTGTTAAAGCAAGCCAATAAATTACCTCCATTGTGACTTTCCTGCATTTCATTTTTTTAATGATCACCAGCTGGGCAAAGGGTTTTTGCTTTCTTCATTTTTGGTAGCTTCAAGGAATTTCATTCAGTTTCATTTTTTATATATAAATTTGAAAGTCAGCTTTATCACTCACAGAGATTCACAACCTTGGAGCCTGGAGTCCTCATAGTCACTAAGCATGGTGTAGCACCAGGCTAAAAGCAGTGACTATTTTCATCCACATGCTGAACTAATGGGCTTGTGCTTCCAACTGGTGAAGAGACAGTTTCAGAAAGCCTGAGACTTTCACATTTATTTGAAGCTTAGGTGTAGGGATCAGTTTGAGCTAATGCTGGTAGTAATTTTTAATAACATACTTTATTACTGAGAGTATGTCTGAGATCTATCATCCCCCTATATATGTCAAATAATCCGATCACTAACCTTTGTTGCTGCTGACCAAGATATGAAGGTCCAGCAAGGGTTTCCCCATTTAGTTTTAATATCAAAGAAATTTGACAGTGCGTTTTCTCAGCCTTCTTTTAAAGCAGGTTCATGGAAATGAGTTCCAGGGTGGTGATGAGTACTGAAGTACTTCATCCTTGCCACCGTTGTTGAACAAACTGACAATGGTTCAGCTAGAAGCAAAATCACTGTGGTTATGTAGGACTTCATTTATCTATTTGTATCTATTTAAAATTTCCCCAGGGTTCAAGGAGCCCTGATTAATTCCTTGCTCTCTTTCTACATCAAGAAATCATAATTCTGGAAGACTCCCAAAGGACAAACTGACCTAATTTTTGGGAAGAATGTCTGTGGGAAGATCAGCTCAATATCCCCATCCTGCCTAGGAGGCAATGTAATCTTCTCTGTGAGGTATCTAGATGAAAAGTTGGGGTTAATTAAATGGGGTTATTTCTAATAGACCTAACATAGCCTATCAGCATGGGATGGGGAGAAAAACCATAAGGGCCTAATTCTGTCCCAGTGGGAGATTTGCCATTTCCCTCAATGAAGGAAGACTAAATCAGGAAGTATGTTCTTTGCTCAACAGCTCTAATTCCTTAAAGATTAAGTACATACCCAACCTATTCCAGCAGCGTGAAAATAAAGCAAAATATACAATGACTTCAATCTGTTTTGACCAGTTGCAGTGGAATATTGCATTACCTTATTTCCAGCCTCACTTATGTACAACTCCAGCAGAGTTCATTAATCTCCTGGTGACAGGATAGTTATTACTGTACAGCAAAAATGTTCTAGTGACTGAGGGCAGCACAAACAATCCTCCTTTACATGGCTAGAAGACTTTGTCACGACACTGAGCTTAAAAGTACTTTTGATTTTTAAATGACAAAAGTATCCCTAATTTTATACTAGGCTCCAATTCCAAAGCAGGGCTGTGACAGCATCAGTCAATAAAGCAGGGCTGTCAGTCTCTCTATCTGCTTGTCTTTCTAATGAGGGGTAACTTTCAAGGCCCCACCATAACAGGGGAGCATAAATAATGTTTTTCTCCTGAAAAATGGCAGCATGGTTTCCAAAAGTTAGTGTGTGGTCAGACATTCTGAATCCCATACCACCACCATGGAGTGACAAAGAAAAGACATCTGTGCTATGCAGGTGTCGGTATGCTGTTGTCAACTCAAACAGTAAGAAATTGAGATGCAACATTGGGAGTCTGAGATGCAAATTTCTTGTAACTGTTAAGTTTTCAGGTACAAGTTAAAGCAAATATGCTGTTATCTGCTAGGCTGCAGGTATCCCACAGGCAATCAGAAGGGTACATCCAGCCCACAAGGCAAATCTAGCCAACTATTCAACAGTTATCTCACCAAAATTTTCACTTGTGTAAGTAAGGGGAAGTCCAGTACTGCTGATTAGCAGCCCCCTATGACAAAACCCTCAATGGCAATACCAAGGCTCCAAAGAGCAACAGTAATCTCAGCTGCCCATTAGCTAACCAGAAACTTGTATCCAGCCAAGGCACTGGAGAGGTTCTTCCCCTTTGTTCTACACAATCCCAAGCAATGACTATAGCATGGAATCTGGGTGCAATTCCAGGAACTTCCCTCCCTTCCTCCCTCACTGCTATGCCAGTCAACGTTAATCTCAGCCCACCTCAGTCATCTCCTAAGCATCATCACGCCAAGGTTCTGTGTGTCCAAAGCATTGAGAAGGTACAACTTTCAGGGAGCTAACTCTACCTCTATGACTTCTTGGCGACATACAGCCATTGGATGGGGACAATGAAGCTGCTATACGCTGTGCTTCTCTCACTGTATTCTCTCAGTAGTGCTCAGCATCCTAACCGTTCTCCAGGACCCTCAGTGTCACAGCCAGGCTTACAGTGAAATGGTCAATAAAGAACAGAGTAGGACTGGGGAAAGGTGTTCACAGAAGATTGGTCAAGGAGAAGTTGACCTATTTTCTGAGGTTCCTGTTAATTCACATTTGCTCTTTACAAAGGAAAAAAAAAACAACCCTGCTATTCCTGAAACACTTATTAATCAAAAGCAGAGAGAGGTAAAGATTCCAAATCCATATTTAAGAAAGATCATTCAAGTAGCACAACAAAAACAGCTCCCCAGAGAGGAACCCCTCCGAGGAGTTTCTCCACTGGGCATGCTGTGCTATTCAAGATATTACATGTGTGTGTTCATAAACGGTGCACTCACCTTAGGAAGAGAGTATTTTGGCAATTTAATCTGTGCAAAAGGCTCCCGTCTGTATGACACGTAGTAATTTGCTCTTCCACCAGCTGTCACCTGTGGAAACACCAAAGAAAGTGAGCGATGATCCTTCCAAGACACCCTATGCTGACACTGCTAAAAGGGTTCGACAACCTTTCGTTCAGATATCTTTTCTATGACCTGTACAGCTGTCTTTTAAAAGTATCTGTATAACTCAAAAAAATCCCAGACTTGGTAGGCTGGAGGATTATTTATTTAAGCTGTGCTATTGAACTTTCCATTTTGTCTCTCATGCTTCAAATCCAGCATGATTTTAACATCTCAGGAAAAAGGGACAAGTGGATATAAAGTTCAAGGTCTTGAGTGGAAGATGATCTGGTTTCATCACATGATTCCAGCACAACTACCTTAGGCAAGTAATTTAGTTTTTGTGCTTTTGTTCCTTTCCTGTAAGAAGGAGATAATACCTCTTTTCTCTGCTGCTTCTCAGCCTTGTATGTTTGCACTGCAAGTCCCTTGGGGCCATGGTTGTCTTCCAACATAACAACAAAGACACACACTAGCACCATTTAATGCAAACAGTAAATGCAATGAATGCACTCTTGGAAAGCTGGAGCTAAGCTCTTAGATGCTCTTTGTCATTATAAACCCAGTTTTCCTGAAATCCTACTGTCTCTACATAAGGATGTGAGGAGGAACTGATAGACATCCAAATCTGTGTTTTTATGGACTGAGTAAGCTGTAAAGGGTACATATAAATGTCATGCATCAGTGAGATCTAGCCCTGATAATTTGTAAAACATGGGATTTTAAACCTGTCACTAGTCACTCTTGCTGTGGGTGTTCTTTCTGGCACCATTTCAGGCCTGGCTACAAGAAGGCTTACAACAGTGAATTTCATATATTCTGCTGGTTTGGCACTCTTGCAGGTTTTAAGATAAAACAATACACAGAGCACTTCTCTATTATATGGAATGTCATTTGTTGCTTCTTAAGTTTCCAATAAAAATAACATAAAGGTCTAAGATTCTCTCTTAGATATATTTCCTTTTATCTGACAGTGATATTTCAGAATAAGCTTATGTAGAATATTGCTATAGCATCAATTATATTCCTAGCAATGATATCACCTCCAGATAGTGGCTTTCTTCCCTAGAGAAGCTGTCTTTTGAAGGACACAGTATTACTGGTCATGAAATTTCATATCTAATCAACTTAAGATAAGGCTTTACTATTGACAGTTGGAAGAACTGGAAAGAAAAGAACGTTCAGAATTAGGACAGGCTTCTACATAAAGATTTCCCCTTCTGCTTTTTTCCCATTTTTACTTGCAATGTTATCATAGCGGCATTTAGTACTCACAGAAGAAAAAAAAACAACTAATATTATATCACACACCACATAAGAAGGCAGAAGAATGACTCATAGCACAGCAAACAAACGCTACACAGACAACATATAGCTAAAATCAAGGAGAAACACAGATATGAAAATCTAAAGCAATTTCCTACTGTCTCAAAACAAGCCAGTGGCAGAGATGGAGCGAGAACAGGGATCACTTGACTGTGACTTTATGGAAAGTGCACTGTGGCCTGGCACAGTAGCATTTCGGGGTCCTGCTCTTCAGCTGTGAGGCTCAGCAAATGGTTGTGAGTGTTATTTCTGAAGGACGTCCTTACCACCTAGGACATCCACACCAAAATCAAGTTTTCACAGGATTGAATAGACTATGCAGTTGACTCACACTCAGTCCAACTCAAAGGCAAAAATTCATGTTTGCAGTAACCGTACCTCTCTATCTGCTGTGCAAGCATTGCCCAAAGGATCCCATACTTCATGTTTACCTAAACAACACAGGGACTATTAAATATCCCCTCCCGGTCATATTTCTGACCTCCAGTGGAAGATCCAAATTCTCAAATGATGTAACTCTGCCACATGAACTAGTTTTACACCACTCATGATTTCAGCACGGGATCATTATTTGTAGCAGAGTCCAAATAGGACTGAATGTACCCAGTGACCATGTAAGCAAGAACCCTGGGTTCAATACCCACCTCTTCTGTCGGACTGAGACACAGCCATCAATTCACCTTTAAGATGTAGACATGAATACATGAATATTTACGTACTTTGTAAATGCTGTGATGACAATTAACACTGGAACAGTCCAACAATCTTCAAAGTAATCACACGAACATAGTGTGGCAGAAATACCAAGGGGTGATCAAATTCCACCCTCTCTGTCAAGATGGGATCTACTCCAAGTCTGCCACACTCAAAAGATGTTACATAGATTTTTTGGCTTTACGCCACTGAAAACTGGTACCTGGAGGGTTTGGAGGGGTTTTGTTTGGATTTGGTTTTCTGCTTTTTTAAGGCAGAAAGGTAGAATTCGGACACTGTTTAAATTCATTAGGCATTAGCTAAATTCCCTTTCACTCCTCTACCTGGACTAGGTCACCTTGACAAAGTTTGAGAAATTGAATCTTTGTGGTCTGTGGTCTGTCTGCGCCAGTTAATATGAAAACATCCACAATTCTGTTGGCAGGATTTGTGTGAAGCTTTTCCCAGCCAGGACCTCATCTTTGCACGATTTACATACACAGTTACAACAGTTCCAAAAAATGATCAAGCCTTCAACAAAGTTTTGGCAAGCACTGTGGTAGAGAATGAATTTTGGAAGGCCCAACTTAATTTATTTTGATGAACTTTTTTCTTTTCCTATGAGCAAACTCTCCAACACTGTAAACCCCAGAGATCATGATCATGTTTTGCCCTCTAATGCCTCTCTTTAGTTCACATTTGATGAATGTTACTCAATTATTTGCTGTGAGCTCATCTGTCACACTCAGTACAGAATTAGCTGGGTTTGTCTTTTTTCTCCTCCTTTGGTAATGACTGGTTCGTTAATCTGTTTCTCTGGATTCTATTTTATGTGTTTAATTGGTCTTCTGGCTGGTGGACATTATTCCTTTGGACAAATGTGTTTGTCATTAAACACATCTGTCTTTCCTATGGTGTGCTCTTTCTTCCTCAGGAAAATCTACTACTTTTCCTCAATACTTCCACATTTTGTTTCAAGACTAATGTCTGGTCTTACTTACATCAGGCAACACTTAAGAACAGAATCATGAGAAGTTTCTCTTTAAAAACCCTGAAATTTTCAGTACACTGGCTCATCCCCCCTTCTGACATGCAACAGGACAGAGCACAGACAACAAATGTGTTCTAAAGGCTGTAGAGTATTATATAAAAACTGTCATAGAATCTATTCATCTCTATAAGTTCTGTGACATGTCTAGAAACACACTAAGCTATTTCTCATTTTAATGAATGAATATGATTTTTAAGAGGAGGGGGGTTGTTTTTGCTTTCTCTTAGCAAGATGTTCATCTTAACCAAAAAACCATGCCATCTAAAAACGTTTGGAAAGCAAGCAGAATGAGTTATGAAGTACCAGAATGTAAAGACATGTAGATGATGTCAGGAACGGTAGAACACAGTGTAACAGGCTTCCTTCTCATCTTCCTGGCTAGCTGATGCTGGGACCTGCAATTTCCAGTGTAAGGTAGGTATTGATGTAACGAACACAGAACTACTAAATCTATAACATGACCCCCGGCTAAGCAAGACCTCATCTGCCTCCTGTTGTTCAAAGAACTAGCAGAAAGCCTAAAGAAATATGCACTGTTGCCGACAACAGAACACCATATACTAGAGGCACAGCCTTGGTTGAGAAACAGTGACAGTGTGCATACAGTGGACACTTCCTAAGCTAATGGCTAAAAGAGAACAGAGGGCTCTTTTCTACATAGCTTAGCAACCTGGGTAGTATGCAACAATAACAATCACTTGCACTGTACAGTTATTGAACAGGTCATCTACTTTTTACACGGTTGATAACGTTCAAAGCTAAAGAGAATTGATAATAGCACAGATCAACCCACAGTAACTAGACATGTTTCAACATTTGTGATCCCTGTCATTCACCTCCCACTTCAAGCATAGTAAATGGTGACTCAGTCCATTACAGAATCAAATTTAAACCTCCTTGTTGATGGTAAGTACTTAATAGTACATAGCTGATGTTACTTTCAATAAGCCCCTCACTTTTTTATGAGGTAACTTCCTCTGTTTGTAGAGTTCCCTCCTTCCCAATATCATAAATGAACTGGTAGAAGTTAAAAGTTGAGGGTGCCCTGGCATCCCTCCTGTCCACTTTAATTTTAGTTAGCCTTTCTCCTTGTGAGCATAAAATCTGCTAATCCAAGTTGTGGATTAAAGCATGGAGGAGTGATGACAAGTTAAGCAGGCAGGCTGCTCCACTCACACCTTTAGTGAGGGATTCCGGTGTTCATCAGAGCCAGCTACTGTCTAGGCCTTGTGCAGGTTTGCCACCATGAGGACTGAAAAATTGTGCCTCCTCTTCCAAGCCTAACCATGATGACAGTCACCAGAAATTCAGAAGGTGAGGAAGAACACATCTGCATGAGCCTAGTGTCATGTTCTTCCTTCTTGATTATCCACCATGGCAAGGACAAACCATCTTCCAGATACTTCTGTGTACTGAAATTCTCCACTGCCCCAGCATAAATCATATCATTATAAGTACCATCGAGTCTGAATTATCTCCCTGTGGTTTTCATTAATTTTCATTATTTCCCTGTGGTTTCATCATTACTTCTGCACAGTCTTGAAAGCAGTATGTAGTTACCTGAGTGTGCTGCAGAGACATGCGAATTAGTGTTTCTGTCCACAAAGCGCCCTCAAGCTGCCTGGTAAATTCAGCAGGCTTTGAAAACTTGGCACTTTTTAGAGTGTCATCAGTGAAAATTTGCTAACAGAAAGGAACATTTATTACACTGGCCCAGTCCCTGGTTGCTTCCCTCTCCCTCAGAGCTATGATGGCACAGATATAAGACAGAGCAATCTTCAGTGAAAATATTGTATTTGTTTTAAAAGCAGCTCCTACAGAAAATGTGTATGGTTACACCAAAACACAAGCCACGTTAGAGCTGCAAATGCACATTACCCACACAGAAACCAGCTTAAGAGAGGAGCATAATTGTACA